TCCCTGGTTTTTCACCATAATGTTTCTCTTGAGACCTGACGATCTCATACCACACTTACAGAGGCAGAGGCCAAAATGTCAGCCAGCCATTAATCTACAGCACTGCCCACACAGGAAAATGAAGCTTGCTCAGTCTGTAGGCATGGCATCGATCCTCTCAGAAGGAGGACTGAGGCTTTGGCTCTTGGAACACACAGCAGCAGAAGGTGCTCATGGGAAGAGTGCATGCTGATGACAGGAAGGTTAAGAATTACAGTAAAGATCCCGGCTTTCTAGGACTTGCGACTGTAACACCATGTACAGAATTGGTGAAACTGGCTGAGTGCCACCAAAAGTGGGCTAGGATTAGTCAGCCCACTAGTAACTCCACAAATCCATCCACCCTGTGCCGCCCTCTCGGTGAAGCCTCTCAAAGAGTTTGCTAAAAGAGCCCGGAGATGCAATGAAATCTGAATGTAAATTTGCCATCCAGAGCAATTTAGTTCATCTAAACACGAAGCCCATTAGATACAGTGTGCAGTCTGTGCTGGGGCTTGCCCGCAGTGCCGAGACTGTGCACTTTAGACCCTGCCACGTCAGTTATGGAAGTTTGCTCTGAGATGTATTTGCTGAACTTTCCCGATATTCTACTGCTAATGTGCAGCTTCTCACAAGTGCTGCTCATGGCGATGTTGTAAGAAGAGCGCAGTGTGTAGCAGTGGTGGTGGAGCAATGCACTAGACCTGTGTTCATTACAGATGAGAGCCCAAGCATTACTCACTCCCAAGCACCTCAGACTTTTCAAGCTCACAGGAACTGGAGTTAATGATGTAAACACCCATCATATATAAAAAAATGTGGCACCAGAGTTAGTTTTATTCAGCACAGAACACATTATTCCCCTTTGTTCTTCAAAGCTGGAATGCAGGATTCATTGGCACACTGGGGGGACTGAGGATCAGCAGGTGTTCCTGAAACTAACCCTTCAATCAGAGCCTTTCAACTGCATGAATGCAATATAAGAGCTGTAGTGCAAATCAACCTAGCACACATGACGTCAGATGTAGCTCACATTGCCTGGCTTCACTAAGATTACACTGCAGCTCAATAATTTGGATCTGTCAGGAACCGTTTTCCTTCCCTACAGGAATAATGGGGCCAATCTGTTATTACCTGTGGGGTGCCATTGACAACTGGCACCTAGAAACAGGCCTAGTTCCCTACAGCAACATTGCCAAATCTGCAATGCTCCTTAAGTGTCACACAATGCACTGGTTTGGTGATTTTCTGAGTCAGAACTCCTGCTTTTCTGCACCTTTTGTATCATAAACAGCGACACCGGTAATAAAGTACTGGTAATGAGAAAGCAGGAAAACCTGTTCATGTGAGCACAGTAAACCAAACTGGCCAGTGGCCAAAATAATGGAATTTCCTTTCAACCTTTAGAAAGTTCTGTTTAACAGAACCTCCACAGAAAGAGCAACAGAAGCTGGTCTCGGTTACCTGTCAATCAACTGCCCTGCTAATCAGTCATATCCAGCTAAAAAGAGAGATATCCAGTACAGAGTCAGGTGCGGAGCCCCAATGTTAAGGGGGTAAAGATGAATAATTTTGAGTTCAATCCACTTTCTCTGTTTCAGTGCTTGGGGATCATGTCTTCTCTTGAACTAAGACATCTCCCCCCAAACGTGACTTTAGAACACAAGTTTTTTTTTTTTTTTATCTCAATCTTGCTCTGATCAAGTAGAGTTTTCCTCACACAGCCCGAGAGCAGAGGCCTAGAAACTTCATTCCAGCCCTTTACTACCTAAGAAGCGAGCTCCAAAATATGGAACGCTTCACGAATTTGCATGTCAACCTTGCACAGGGCCCATGCTAATCTTCTCTGTATCGTTCCAATTTTTAGTATATGTGCTGCCGAAGCAAGCACAGCTAATGGGGGCCGACTGGCCGTATATGTGCCACGGCACTCTTCACGCCTTTGTCATAAGTAGCTGACTATTCAGACTTGGCAGTGTTTGTCAAGGCCCGAATTTTTGAAGGTTAAGATGGCAGTGGACTTTGCGGCAGAGACTTCTCTGTATCGTTCCAATTGAAATGTGAGGTCCTTCTTTACACAAAGGGCAATGGGTGTCTGCAACAAACTTTCCAGCTATGGTGTTGCAGTTAATTTCCTGTGATCCGTCAGGAAAAGACCGATCAGTTTCTTTAGATTGATAAAATAACTGTCAAACAACTAGTCAAGAAGGACCAAACAGAACCAAAACCTCTTCTCTTCTATAACATCTCTCACGTTAGTATCCTCTTAAGATGCAGTGGAATCCAAAGCAAACAGGAATAAGGAATACAAATAGGGAGTAGATATTAAGAATCAATATCAAGCCAAGAGCCAAGTATTTTATGACAACCCTCACTGCAAACAACCCTGGATCTACAGTATGTATTCTACTCACCTGAAATGTAAACTAGTCAGGTCTCTCTCTGTGCTACAATATGGTACATAATTATGAAAGAAATGTGTGTTCTTGTCCAAAGATGTCACCTTTTTGATTCATGCCAATATGTTGTTTCCCTGGCTTTGTGGGCTGATATCTGCAAAGTAATAAAAATGTACAGATAAAAACTATGGCTCATTAAAGATCTCTTCCAAACTTATTGCCTATTACAATAAAGAGAATTAACCCCAACAGGGCTGGATTTATAGATCGCTGGACACAGCTTTGTAATGCGCAAAATGTACAAGACAGGGCCAATTAAAGACATTTCAAAAGAAAGTACTTCTTGACACAGTATTGCTAGTGATCCCCTCACGTCAGTGTTAAAACAAATCTGCAGTTTTAAACTTGCATTGTAAGGATTCACTGAGGGAGGGAATTAAATGGAGAAAACAGGGCGGTCTCTGAAAAGTGAAGGCCATCAGAGAAAAAGGAGATGGCTCTATAGCAGAAAAAGGAATGGACGACGAAGTCAATTTTGGGACAACGCTGCAATCTAAAAAGCAATCTCAGGGGAAAACAGTGTCTCCCTGAATAGAGAAAGACACCCTGCCACAACATCCTGTGTTGGATACTCAGAAAGACATGAGACAGCAGCAGAGCCAGGACCGCACAGCTCCGCAAATCCCGAATTTGATCAAAGGCTGGGACTCCTCAATTATTTGGAATCAGTTTTTTGGGGGTGACGAAGGTAAAATCGGCATTGAATTACCACGTGCTCTCGATATCTAAAGGATCGGCAGAAGCCAGGTGTGGGGTACAAGCTGTCCACTCATGTGAATCTGTATTCACGACCACAGTGAGCGCCTCCGATCACTGCGGAACTGTTCCGCAGCTGAGCGCCCTCCGCGCTCCTAGCCCGGTACAAGCATCAGCACTGGTGTCGAAGCGAAACCGACACAGGAGGCATGTACGACGTTTTCTAAGCCATTAAGGCTGATGGCAGATTAAAACGCGGGGCTTTGTTTGCTTAACCTCTAAAATGACATTTTCGTGAGGGAATAAACTCATTTCCCCCCCTTCGGCTCCACTTCTTCCCACGGACAACGAGCGAGTCTCGCCCCAGTTCCCCAACGCAGATGGTGGATGCGACGGGATCACAGCCTCTCCTCCTCATTCCCGGGCTTGTTTTCAACACCCCCCCTTATGCCCTACAATTGTTGTCACCGTGTTATATAACACGACACATCAGCCCCCACAAACGCGCCCCGAACTTGGGAATGAATACATGCCGCTATGCGTTCTGGCGAATGTAAGGCGGAGAAAAGGCTTCTGAGAAGCAAAAATCACGTGTTTTCTGCAGCGTGCACGAAAATAATTGGAACGTCTTGATTCCGGTTCTATTTACAACACAACTAACATGAGCGCTTCTGCCTTGCACTGTCAATTAAATGTGATGACATGACAGCGTATACAGCAATACTCAGGTCGCTTCAGGGAAACGACGATGAACATACAAGTGCTGTATATTCGCACACGGCCACAGTATAATGGTTCTTATACAACATAAACGTGGCCTCAATGGATGCCGAACTGTATGGCGTGACGTTTGCCTACACCCACGAAGCGGGGCAAAGTTTACGCGTGTTTGATTGTGACATGTTTCTGCGCGTTAATTACACAGTGCTGACGAGATTTTAACCACAACTCCCAGCCCAAATCACTGGAATTAACAGCGCCCGCTGCCTTCACAGCCCGGTTGACTAAATCTAGCCCTTCCTTTGCGTGTCTCAATCCCTTCTCGAGCCCAGCGAAATCACACAGAGCATCCTCGTCACACGCAGGGCACAAGAGCGAGCCGGCACATTCTCAACGGAGCAGTCCCTGGTCCTTCCATTGCAAGCCGCTACACGCACACTGCTACGCGTAAAAAAAAAACATGCTGCTGGAAGCATCTTCTGTGAATTTCACTGTGAAAGAATGCGTCCTTCCTCCGAAAGACATTTAAAAACCGAAAACACCCCCAAACTAACCGGCTACCAGCCCCGCAGCATTGTGACACTCTCAATTAGTCTACACGTCACGCAGGAACCGAACCAAAAAAAGACCCATTTAAAAAACCTGCTAATTCTGATGTAGCCGTCGGTATTTGTAATAGCCTTCATATTTCACCAGACAGAAGGAAAAAAAACAAACAAATGACACTCCTGCTGCCTGCAGACCCACAGAAAGCAGCGCACGCCGCCCGCCTGCACATTCTCCCGGCGTCTCGCTGATCTTCATTCATAAAGCCTCACCTGATCACAGCTGTGCCGTATTCACACAGCTGTCGGCTCCTCCGCTTACTCAATATTCAGCGCTGCTCATTTCCCACCGGCACCAACAGAGCGTCCGGGGGACCGTTTCACAACAAGACACATCTATAAGACCACCATACCTTGGCGCCAGGGGAAGTGAGCGAAAACGGCATCACCGGGCAGGAGGACGTGTGTCCGACGGCACTATCGCTATTCTGTTCGGTATGCCAGGGCACCACAGCCTCTCGGGTGGAATGCAAACACGTAAGAACGAGGGAATTCTGCTTACCCTGAGCCGTCTGCCTCTCGTATCTGCGAACGAATGGATGCACAATCCCTTTAGATCATCTTAGTGGATTCTTATTGCTGATGTAGTCCTGTAATCACGGACCTTGACTGCAGTTTCTGTTTTCTCCGATTTGAAACCCCCGATACCAAACATAGGAGGCGCCTTTGTTCGGCCAGCCCGCTCGCTCCTCACTGAGTACTGACGCAGATGACTGCCGCTCCGAAAAACAGCGACCCCCCCACCGCTGCCTCGATCTTCAAAAACTAAAACCAATTGCTCTTCTAACGTTATGACGTACTAACGTTTTATTCCTGACTTCCCTTTAACTTACCCTATTATTAATTTAAATGAAAGCCAGATTTCACAGGGCGAGGCAGAAAGGCCACGCCTCAGACCGAATCATGGAGATTGAGACTTGAACGCGTAACCCATTAACGACACCGCAACAAAGATTGTTAATAAACCCCACAAAAGATCAATACGTTTCGTAGACGTTCTGTGCACACACACACAAAATAAAAAACATTTCCAATGATGTATTTACCAAGCAAGCGAAAGTACTGCATTACAACATTATAACCTCATTTATTATGCGCTGAGTGGTCAATTGCGCACCTCCAGATATTCCAGCAAACCTGTAACACTCCTGGGAAGGGTAAAGTTTAAATACAATTTGTAACCCACCAGTAGATTTGTGTCTAGTAATAGTTACTTTTTCAAAAATGTACTTAACAACTCCTTCCCGAAGGACTTGGGCAGAATTCGTTTTTTTTTTCACTACAGCGACAAGAAATGTCAGGGAAAGAGATCAGGATATTTCATGTTCCACAGGAGGCAGATGTATTGACGCAGCCACTGACCAAAACCACGTTTGAAGACCGGAACATGTAGGTCAGTTATCCGTGTGGGATGTACTAAGCAAGTGAGAATACGCATTTTGTCTGCACTGATGCAGCTTGACGTCCGGCCCTGAACACAGACAGGTGTATATCAATGTAGCGTCACAAACAGTTCCGCCCCTCCGCCCTCCTGCCATCACTGGCTCCAGGCTGCGGCAGAGTCACTCTGGCCCGGCTCAGGTGCTCTGGCCGCACTCGCCTGCCAGGTAGACGTGCGGGACCGTCACCAGTCACTCCTCCAGCCCCAGAGCCGAGGCTCGGCTCCCGTGTCCGATCTGCGCGCGAAGCGGATTGCACAGGGAGACTCCGGACGGCAAGTCTGCACAACAAATTCGTTGTTTCCGAAAAGTGAAAATAATAAAAAGAGAAAGTGTCACCTTGACATACTGATTGTTCAAAAATGTCAGCAAGAGAAAAGCTTATTTTTCAAACCTTGTATCGATGGAAGCTCCCATAATTCGTTTCTCCAGCAGACAGACATAGTGGACAGACCCTTACACAAACTCACACAGGCAACACAGAGGAGTAGGGAGCCTGGGTGCATTCTGTATGGAGTCTGCATGTTATACTGTTCTTACCATATAGCATGCTTTTCTGAAGCTTAGTCCACTTTGGCCTAGTTATTTAAATACTGCGTAATCTCCACATGGTCTGTGACCCCACACACCATGAGTCAGTTAGTAGCACCACACATGATTGTTGTGTCCTGATCATCTTACCTCACCTCTGGCCAGCTCTTCCGTGTGAAAAAGCGCTTGTCTGCTGTTGCTTCTGTGTCTTGTGTACCAGGGAGCACAGAACAGCATTGACTGCTGAAATTAATCAGCCTGCCTGTTACAGTGTTCATCCTAATCTAATCGAATACACAGACCTGGAGTATTCTTCAAAACGTGAGTGGTGCATAATTCTTCCAAATATTGGCCGTTCTTAGTGTAAAATGAGCTTGAAACAATGCGGCTTTACCTCCTTGGATCCTTGTGAAACCCAGGCATATCCACCGTCGTGTACACAGTCAGGGGTGGGGCCCTGACCCTGTGAACTGAGTGGCGACAGAGGACATGTGAGCCTGGTGGGGTGGGGGCACATCTCTGTAGCTGCAGGGTCACGTGATCACCAACATCTTGGGCTTCGTATGAACAAGATTATAGTCACATCTGTATAATATCCTTGTCGGGAACTTTCTTTACTGTTTTTACTTTGGATGCTGATGTTCTCCTTGCTACGCATTTCACCAGCTGTCACAGTACAGTGCAGTTTTTATTGCTGCAGGAGCTGTAAAAAAGGTACTTTTGGTGGCATTTTTTAGACCAGATATGATTATTACTGATAAAGTAAGGAAAGGGTGCTTTACCAAGGGAAAAGGATTAACAGCTTCAAGTAGACCAGATTTGTTGCCTTGTTGTCTAGAATATAATTTTTCCAATAAGAGTGCTTCCAGGCGTCTTGGGCTTTGTGCGGCACATTGCAGTTGTACTCTGCCCTGGAAGAAAATCCTTGAAAATATACAAAACAGTGTAATATGAGCTACATGTTGGGATATGAATGAATATGAATATGAAGTTTAAATTAATAATTGAAGCTGAAAAATAAACTTTTAAACATGTTCAAAGGAAAGTGTGATCACAAAGGAAGAAGATGGAATGTCAGCTCCAGTGAACGGACAGGGCACACAGTGCATCTTGGGAATTCTTCAGGGGCATGTCAGAGGCAAAGGTCTGGTACTGTTAAAGCAAAGGTCATGACCTCCCTGGAGGTCTTCTAGCTAGGTCAAATGGACAGGAAGCACTGGGCTCAGTTTATTGAGTCAGTCAGCATCATCAAGCTGGATTTCTCCAATTCTTGCCACTTTGTTTTCCAAACCAGCGACACCCCAGCTGCAGCCTCGTCTCTTCAGAGGCACGAACTGACAAGGCGTGACCATTCTCAGAGAAACACAATGGAGAAAAATAAGGCTTCTGCTTTCCTGTGGAGCAGAGACAGGGGGCACTGAACAGTGAGGGGTACCAGCATTTAGGTGAGATGTTCTGGCAAGGTCCCAAGTGTCTAGCTCTACAGATTGAAGACCCAACAGAACACTGTGGATTAAGGGAGTTTACTTCAATGTCCTGGCTGGACTCTGGTTAAGAGTTCTGTAATATAAAAATGACTCAGGCAGTATAGTGGCTGCTGTAATTCCTCTTTCACAATCTTGCCCGGGCCATTAATAACTCATGGTGCCCACTCCTCACTTGCAAGGCAAATTAGTGTACTTTGCCATCGGAAAGAGCTGCAGCAACATATAGAGGTATAAGACCTTCCTCCCTTAGGCTTTCCAGTGAATATCAATATTGAGGAAATTAAAAGGCCATGGAAAAAGACGAGGTAATGAGCACATCCTGACGAGAGGTGTGGTCTGTGCGTTGATATGGCTTGGACTGAGAGAACTCTCTCTGAAAGGGGGCTCTGCCACCAGCTCGAGCTGTAAAGGCTGTGGCTCTACAAATTCAAGAAGCCTCTTTGGCATGACTGATAAACGGCAGGGTTGCCAAAGCGGTCAAATTTAGCGATACATTTAAGGACACGTACAATAAAAACGTTGTCTGAGAGTCTCACTGTCTGTTCCTCAGCCTGCAGCTCTATTGAATTTCCTCCTCCCTCTCCCAGCACGATTGAAAGCTGTTCTCATTTTGGCAGGTGTAGGAATTCCGAGATTAGATTTATTGCTTTAGGGAAGAATATCCAATCAGAGTATCTCTCACAGTGCAGTAGGAAATGCACCTTTGTCTCTGTTTCTCCCCGCTGGCAGTGGGAGCACAGCCTGTCCTCTCTGGGGAGCCAGGTCTCCCTGTGTCCAGTTTTGTATGTCACTGAGCCTGAGCTTTGTCAGGGTTTGTTTCTCTTTACTGACTTTTACCCTGATCAGATACACAGCTAGTGTGTATTGTCTTTTTAGAGCCCAGTACAGTAGCGTTCCAGTTTGTGTTGTGTTCGTGTCCACGTGGGTGAGGTAATGTTGTTAGTCTTGTGCTGTGATTGGATTCACTCTAATCTGCGGTGCTTTACCAGTGCTGTCCTGAGACCGCTTGGTCATAGTGAGACCATCTTTGGAATGGTAAAATGTATCACTAGACATTATACATCACTTATGGAAATGAACAAGTAAATGAGAATATATCTTAAAATGCCATTCTTCAATTATTCAGAAGTGCTGTAATTTAAATGTGCAATACCTAAATAAATGTGATAAATTGTAACTATATAGCACAAGTTATTCCATGACTAGTGGATACAAGTGTTGCCTTAAAGGTCAGTTATTTATAGTCTTTTTAAAATGGCTGCTCTCTTTTTACAGGCGAGAGATGGCTGCATTAGTGCTACTTTACTTGAACTTTAGATTTATTTAAAAACACCTATTGAGACCACCGACCTAACAGAGATACTGTTCAAAGTGTCATTTAAACGCTGCCTTGAACATTCATGTGATGCAGTATCACTGCACTTTCTGTACTTTCTCTCAGTGCATGGAAGACATTACTCACAGTGTTATCTCCCGCGCCACCGGCCAAACAGAAAGGATTTATGAATGCACGTCTCCCTCTTGTGGCCATGTAAGGAAATGCAGATCTACACCCCTGAAGCGCTGAACGCACATGCCGACGGTGGAAAGAATAGCGAACGTGATATATATATATGGTAGTGTAGGAGGCAAGGTTATATATTGTAACGCTTACGGCCGACAGGCACTGTGTAAGAGCCGGCGTACCAGAGCAGGTGATGTCACCGCCCTTCCCTGTGATAGCAGGACCACAGCTACTGGGCTGGGTCGCTGCAGAGAGACGCGGGAGTCTCCGGTTCGAGCCCCCGGCAGTGGGGGGCCGACCTAATGCGGCAAGGGCGCCCGCCTGAGCCCCCGTTGCGTTACAATATGGACCAGTCTTGTAAAACCAGTTGATTCTATATACTAAAGAAGTTGAAATTTTGAGTTTTAAAGTCAAATCAAAATCATAGTCCGATTTCTAGTTCATGAGATGACGATTGGAACGCGTCATTAATATTAAATACATAAGTATGCCTGCTGACTTATTTACATATCGGGTAAATAATACTGAGTAAATGATATCTGCAATAAACGGACCGCGTTTGCAATGTGTAAAGCCCAATTTTAATGAAATGGAAGCATCTCTGTGTACAAATTACAGACATATTTCTGTAAATATTATGCGTATACATTTACAGGTGTGTATTTGTCGCGTTTAGCGGCAGACGAGTGACGTCGTTCTAGACTAGAGTTCTAAACAAATACCTGAATCCCATATAACTCCACAGGGCCAGTGTCACAAAAAACGCAAAAAAAATGTCTTGTTAGAATATTTAAAAAAATAATAACGTCTGGCCTGTTGACTCAGTAAGTGTCTTTGGACACGCAACACGTTTGGAAGATACAGACTCGAACCTGTGGAAAGAGCCTTTATTTGATATTTCAGCCCTCACCCTCTTGGTGTGAGAGACAGCTGCATGGTCTCATGGATGAGGAAACACGAAGTATCAGTGGAGCAGGAGATTAGCAAGAACAGGGGGCTCGTCCTCATCCCAGACTCTTCAGATCCACTCATTTTGGTGAAAAGTTGATTTTGCCCAGTTCAGGAGTAAATCAGCCTAATTAACTCCTGGACAAAATCAGCCTACAAAATCGGAATACAGACTTGACCATTTCAAACAGGAGGAGGAAACATTGAGGACATGTTTTCACAGTATGAATGATTTCACTGCAGGCATTTACAGGGTCTGCTTGTATTAAATGAGAAACCCCAGTCAGAAACATGCTCCCGGAGACTGAATTGCTGTAGCCTGCAACAGAAGAACACATTCTGGAGATCTGATTCAGGGGTTCAGACTCCTGAGGAAATATAAAAGTGGAACTCAACAAGGACAATCAGGACTAACAAGGGAAAATAAAAGCTCAGACAGAGTAAGAGCCTCTTACACTGGGAGTACCTTCAGCTAAAAACATGGGAGGGTTTGGGACTGAACCCTGGGCCTCAGAATTGAAAAGAAGAAATGGTGAACACTGCGCCAACATGTGCCCCTATTTTGGACTTATATTTATTAAAACTAAAATGGCTTAATTCTTCTGACACTGAAGAAGAAACTAACTTTCTCTTCCAGTAATTATATGGTGACAGTCAGAACCTGCTGATGTGCCCATTAAAGTACATAAAGACCCCAGCAGTGCCTAAAACAACACATTTCCCTATATTTCTCTGAAGAAAAGACATAATTTGGTGTTCAGCACTCGCAACATGCTGGGAGAAACCAGTCACTGCAGGTGCTCACTTCAAACAGACAGATCTAACAGGAACTGGGCCATGACAGCGGACTACCCATTAGAGATCAGTTTGCTGCCTAATTATTTTCCATGGCCCTGTGCCGCAGACAATACAGCAATCAGTTCTTGGCTCTTCTTCAAACCCCGCGCTTTATGTAAATATCACTCTGAAATGGTGTCATGTGGTTGGCAGATAGCAGCCCCTGTAAATAACAAATTTAGTCCTTTGATTTCAAAGTTCAGGATTGTACTTGATCTGCATAATAATAAGCTCTGAATCAAAGGAAAGGCACGTTTTAGGATTATGAACACTTTTGGACTGACATTGTGAGAGCAACTAAAGTGAGCTGTATTATTCATACGACGAAACCGTGTTGCATCTTGAGAATTGAAACACTCATTCGCTGCCAACCTGCCCTGCAACCTGGGAATGATATTACTGATTCAATTACGTGCAGCTGTTGACGCCCTGTGTATGTACCTGGGTTACAGGGAACTGGAAGACACGTTGCACAACGTAATAGAAACTGAGCAGTAAGGTGCTATAGTAGACAACAGGCTGTCCCAAAATAACACATCTCACAACTCTGTCTTTACTGGCTGTACTGTATTATAATAATTCAAGGTGAATCTGCCTGGGCTGTATAAATAGATTGATATTAACCAGATGTGGCGGGACGCTTTAAATGACATATTATTACACGTAAATACAAACGGAATCATAGACATTTTCACTAGGGTGTGTAAATAAATGTATAACTGTCCGGCGTTAAAGCCGCCAGCCACTACTATACAACCTAACAACATTTGACAGACTTTGCCGAAGTCTTTAAGACGTGGGGACAAAATATCAAAAAAGAAGAGTCACCGTACAGGTTACTAAGTCACATTAAATGCGCGCAAGCCGCTAATTGGCAGGGCCTGGCAGCGCTATAGCTTTGTGTGACATAAACTGTGGATAAAAATATTTTGTAAAGTCCAATTTTACCGTCCCGCCACATACAGTACTGTACGCGCGTAATTGCCAAGCGTCGGTATGACGAGAAGCGCACAAGCAGAATGACTTTCAGGAACAGAGCCCCCCGGTGGTGAGGCGCAGCATCGCGTCCCTGGCGTCGACTCGGCCCAGCCCTCCGGCAGAGCGAGAGGAGGCAGGCGCAGGGATACAGGCGGAGAGCAGCACAGCATCCTTGCGCGACGGAGGGAGCGGACAGCATCCTTCAGACCTTCATGGGCTTGCACTGGCTCCACGCCCTACTCCAGTCCGCGCTCTTCGGAAATGAGGTGAGCAATTACACAGTACGAAAATACAGGCAAGACCGACATCGACGGCGCCTTTTGTACAGTTATGCTTGCTTATCTGTTTCGGAAAAAAACACAGCGGTGCTGCGCGTTAAAATAAAGATGGGGGGTTTAAAATGCCTGTGCGCTTCGGGGCATCATCGTCCTTAGATCCTGACTCGAATATTAAGCAGAGCTACAGTCTGGGGCTGTAACAGCGGCGGTGGTGATGTGACAGTGATGTCTCGGGAGAATTTGTTATTTTCCCCTTTGATTTGTTTCCGTCCCGAACAAAGGGAAAACGACAGTGTCATTGTAAATCGTTGTTTGTTATTTTTTTATTGATTCAAACCCGCATTTCTGGTGTGGCGTGAGGCGGTCAGGTGTGCAAGGTCAGTGCTGAGCAATCCACTGCACCTGTTTTCGCTGGAACCTCGTCCTCTCGGAGAGAGCGGATGGCATTTTTAAAATCAAAGGTTCAATTACGATAACTGCCATTTTAGCATCTCCGTGAGAGCGGCGATTTGGGGTTTGGTCTGTGCTTTATAGCATTTATTAAAATTATTCTGTGTGTGTTTTACTGTCTTACGGATTAAATATTAGCATTGGCATTTAAGGTAAGAAAAGCTGTTGGGTAAAACGATTGTGTATTTGCCTGTACACACAATGCGTTATTACACTTGACTGCCCTGTATTAACTCACTGTGCAAAGCTATACTGCAAGAATATAACATCGATTCTTAAAGACAGATTTAAGTTTTTAATAGGATTTCCTGTAGGATGGTGATACTCCAATGCTCTAATTGATCCTCTAATTTCTGCTCTGTTAAATATTTTACATTTACGGAGTTTTGGGATAATCCCCGCACCCTTCCACTTAACTACATATTTTTTAGTAAATATGTGTGCTCTTTGTGTAGAGGTGTACAGTATGTGCAGTACGTGCAGTATATGTATATGTCGGTTTGTGTATCCGTGTGAAATAAAGCGAAGCTTACCGTGAGAAGTCCGTTTTCTTGGTTAACCTGTGGTATCTGCTGTACCTTACCCTTTGCAAGTGTCAATAGACATGCAGCATCTCCCGAAGGCACGGCTACAGACTGTTTCGTATCCGCTTTGAAATACTTCGGTTTCTTGTGGATTCAGGTTAAACTTGGTTATTTCAAGGGATGTGGCCGTTTCCGAAATACTGCACAACTACAAGCAATCGCGCTGGGCATTTCGGGTCGTAAGGCTGTGCTGGACTTGGCTGTCTCTCCATCGCTTAGTAATACTGCCTGAATTTGATTAAACCAAGTAGCCTGGTTGACGGAAAAAGAAATGCTCCCTCTGGTCAAGCTCAGTCTGTTTTGTTTGCGGCTTCTGTTGCTTTTTATAAGAAGAGGCCAATGTAAATGACTTCTGCTCTTGCCCCTACTAAAATATTATCCTCTCTTATGCTCCTTCTTCCCCTTGGTAAACCACCAAACCCGAGAAGGAAGGTGGGACAAAGTTGTCTGTCCAGTTACAGGCTAGGAAACAGCATCATATACTGTATCTGAAAGGAAAGCTCTTAAGATCCTCCTCATATTGCAGTCTCATGGAGAAGGGCTGCAGTAATCCTATAGTCCCTTTTCCCACCAGCAATACAACATGTCTGAACCCTAATACAGAGCTGTCCAATCCTGGCCTCGCAGTGCCAGTGTGTTTGCAGGTTTTCAATCCAAGTTGACCCTTAGCAACCTGAATAAGGTTATTATTGAGTTCCAGGTGGCAATGTGTTGACCCAGCTCTTCAGGAGCTGTATAAAAAAACTAAAATGCTGAGTACTGTCCTGTTTCTATTTTGTAATTTCAGTAGCAGAGTGGGGGAGGCTGTAGCTCAGTTGCATGAGCTGTTCAAGTGGTATCTGCTGGGGTTTAGACTCAGATACAGCACGAAACAGCCCTTGTTGAGGGAGGTTTCTGACTCAGGGGCTCTCATTATAAAGTGTAGCTTTTGATATAGTCAGTCATGCCATTTTACTCAAATTTCACTGTATTGGTTTTGTTCCTGTTTGCCTAACTGGAGACATTTCGTAATTCTGGATTGTTTTTCATCTTTTTCCAGTTACTAATGGTGTTCCACAAGGTGCTGTGCTTGGACCAGTGCTGTTGAGTTCATATGTGTTGGCTCCTATGTGTTAACTACTGTGCTCATATTAACTTGCAAACTAACTTGATTATGGCTGTGCATCTCCTACACTTTCCAACTCCTCGCCTGCTGTTAAGATATGGGTGGAAGAGAACTTTCATTAGCTGAACTGTGACAAGACTGGGATTAAACTTATTGGTTACGCAAATTTGCTGATTTCAGTGTTGCTGTTGATGGTGCTGAAATGAAACCCTCGAGTGAAGTTAGAAAACTTGGTGTTATTTTTGGCCCTGCATTCACATTCAAAGCTTTAATTAGTCCAAATCTTGACCTAAAATCAGTGCATTCAGGTCTTATTTTACCCAAAAATCTTTGCTTGAGTGTAGAACTCTCTGTAGAATGTCTAGTGGACATTCAAAAAGAACAAAGTAAGCAAAATGTCAGTCTGCAAAGGAACAAGTAATAGGTTTATTCCATGCTGAAAAGAGAAGAAAGAAAACACAACTTTTCTGTCGTGGAGCCTTCTTCAGGTGTGAGGTCTTCACCTGAACTAAAATGTCAGTCTGTCAACCAGCTTGAGTCTGGATGATGAATTTGGTTCAAAGGTGAAAAGCTGTTCAGGTCATCATTCCTAATGATCTCCACAATGATGTCATTCAGCGAACTATCTGCTTAAGCGGTTCACTGGGAGCTCAGGCAGAACCAATCTGATGGTCGATGTCTGGGTTTTGTCATTGGCCTCCCAATAGATGGTGCACTTGTGGCTTCCTGTGGCCAAGCTTGGGAGTGTTCAAAGTCGGGAAAGATTTGTTCCACTTCTGCTTTCCCAGTATTTTTCCAGATTGTTCGAAATCATTTCAGAGATAGTTTCTTTACTTCTTCATTCGAGGGTTTCTGGTTTCTTTCAGCAGTTTCCCGAAGGAGCCCAAGGGCCACTCTGTGTTCTTGGATGGAGGCCATTAACACAGCAGGCAAGAGACATCTGCTCTGAAACCGAAATCTTTTCTTGAAAGTAATTTTTTACTATGGACTTATTAAGCAGAAGCTTTATCCTGAAACTTCCATTTCTACCACGTGGGTGTTCTGAGTGAAGTAACGTGATCAAAGAAGTGACAACCGTGTCCCACCCAGGACACCGAGCCCTAATCCAGAGACTTTTATCACCACTCCCTACACTTGGCTACTCCAAGCGATACCTTTTGTGCCAAATTGTCACATTGTGTTTCTTGTTTTTGTCAGTCTCTCCAGTCAACAGCTTTTCTCACATCAGATTTAGGTTTGTTCTTTCTCTAATTTTACGTTTTTGTTAGTGCTGCTTTTTTTGTTGTTTTGCACACCAGTGGTAAAACTATAGGCAGGTGTGGTAGCAGAGTGGTTAGTGTTGCTGCCTTGAACCAGAATGTGCCCATCAGAGGCTCAGTGTCCATCGCTGTCCTCTCAGGGACACAGATCACACGTGCCACAAATCATGCTCACATCACCAGAATAAAATGGCTGGCTGTTATATAATGCTTCATTTTTTAAGACAACTGGGATTTGCAAGCTGTCTGCTGCTATGGTTGAGAGCAGTGTAGGCCTCCCCTGTTTCAGAGAGCAGAAACCACGTGTCTCATATTGTTAGATCCTCTAAATTGCCTGGCAGAATGAAAGTGATGTATTCTGAAATTAAAATTTAGAAACATAACCCATCCTGGAAATATTTAGACCCCTCTCTGGAAGAAAGAAACCGAACAGGATTTAACCTCTGGAGTCTGAAGGCTCCTAGAGAGAGTGTTTTGAAGACCATTTCATGTGTGTGAATCAGCTTTTACACAATTCGAAAAAGGAGAGACGCATGTTTATTATATGTAGACTTTTAATTTTGAAATTGCAGGTGTATCAGTATTTTGATTGGATTCAGATTTGAGTTCTCTCTAGCAATCAAGCGCTTAGGTTCAGATAACAGCTGCTGGTTGTAGTCCAGGTTTGAAAAACCTTTGTGCGAGTCATGGGTTGTAGGTAGGGTTTGGAACTAATTTTACTAATAGTTTATGTTATCTTAGAAAAAGTGCCTTTCTGACCTACCTTTCAGAATGTTCAACTAAACCTCTAATCCGTAATATCATTTTCCTCTTCATTTTTACAGTTTTTGTTTTGCTCTTTTTTGTTGCATGTGACTCGCTTTGTGATTTTTTTTAATTTTCCTGATAAAAGGAAACCAATCAATATATTGCTGCTGCCTTAGCTAATTAACCTGCCTTTAATGTGAAGATTTTAAGACCTTTCTGTTCTCATCTGACACTGGACTGCTGTTTGATGGGATTGTCTCTGTTGTGCATCTCTCTGATCTCTTCACCATGCCAGATCACCACGCTTGTATACCAGAGGAGTGCAGTTAAGGGCTCTTTGCAAGCAAGTGACCACTAGGATTGTAACCAGAAGAACTTCACGGCTCTTTAATAACACTCGGTATACACAAATAATATATATCGCAGTACTGTTTTTTTTTGCATTTCATGATCATCTTTTCTATGGCTACAAATAAAACAGGGGACTGCTCCATCTCAAGTACTTTTCATGCCCTACAAAAAGTGATCTACAGTACTTTGAAAGAATGGAAAGAAGTGAAGAGTAAATTAAAGAGTTTGTGCTTATGTGGTGTTAAGAGAAGAGTTGGTCTCTTGCAGGACCTAAAGGCCAAGGATTGTGACCATATGAATTGATGCAGCGTCCCTGGAGAGGCTGTGATTGTGACACAATCGCTTGAGTGTGTCCTCTATAGTTCAGGCTTGTCGCTCACAGCCTTTTCCAATCATAGCCTGGGCAGCTCAGAAGAGGCCATATCGATTTCTGTCCCTCATTGTCCAGATATTTATATGCAGGTCACAGATGCTCCTTTCTGAAGCAAAATT